ATGTAAGCAAAACATTAGTTGATCATGATTAATCATATAAGCAAATCATTGTTTATATTTTTTTAGTGACAAAGCATATAAATCATGTATTTTTCTACTTAAATTTTCACAGTTTTTTCTAATTGGAATCATTTGTTTTTCCATTCAAAACATAAGTAAAATATAAGAAAAACACAAAATAAATTTAAGCAAACAAAAATGCAAATGCTTAAAGTTTTGATCATTTTTATAAAGCTTAAAAAAATATAAAGGTTAATTAAGATATAATGAGATATTTACACTTAAAGATATTGAAATAAATAACATTTGTATATGTTTTGATCATTTTTACACATTAAAATATCATAAATCATATACATATCCGTTTTGTACGTTTGTAGATATTAAAAATCATATATGTTAAAATCGATTAGTCAACCTAGTTATGAATTCTGCGCTTAGGCACGGATCAAAATCTAGTCATTCTAAAAAACTACTAACTAGTTAAAAAATAGGCTAAATAATGATTAAATGACAATTAACAACAAATTTAATAGCAAAATAAAAAGGGTGATTTGGTTTAATATTCTGGAAATTTTATAAAATTTGAAAATTAACCCATATTTTAAAACTTTTGTAAAATAACCTTTTTAATGGATAAAAATACACTAATATACTCATTTGAGATTTTATAGTTAATAACACATACATTTATTTTGTTTTCTTTTCTAATTTAGAAATTAAAAATTATTTTCTACATCAAAATAAATTGAATATTTTTTTTAGAAAACGAGTTATTTTAGTATTAGTTTAAATTTAGATTCAACATGCTTAGTAGATATATGCATCTTGCTATATAGTCATCCTTATAAGTTTCATTAGATTATTATTATCAATCGATCATAATTTTAAAGGCTAAAAATATGTTAATTGAGTTATAATATAGTGATGGTGATTTCATATTTCTTTATACACAATTAAACATATCAAAACAGAGAAAAAGAGGTATTAGAAAAGCTATGATAAGATTCGTGAGAAGTTCTTAAATTAAATTCAGTAAAGTAAAAATGAGACAT